GCCGCTTGATCAGCTTAAACAAGTTTCTTTGACAGTTGCCTGTGATGGCAGATGACTAGACAGGCCCCTTTTATTCCCATGTTTCCAAGAGGCCTGTCAGACATGGGCTGCCTCTCCTTTTTCTTAAGGAAGGTGCAACTTGGTTACACAAGTACAATTTAACTGAAACTCTTCATTGTCACCTACTCCTTCTTGCTACTCTAGCAACAAGAGGGGATAAGGCAAAAGAAAGGGTTGCAGCCAATTTGTGCTGACAAATCCTCCACAAAAGGATGTTGGCAGGAAAGCGGATTGAGATACAGAAGCAGTTGACACATCTAAGCAGTTCCATTGCCTCTTTCTGGCATAGATCAAATTGGTTATGATGAACAGAAAAAATAACTGTTTAACTGTACAACTGCAAAAGTAATATGCGGCTAGGTTGTTGTATATGGCAAAGAAGCATTAGTTCTCAAATTACTTTTCTTTCTCTTGTGCATAATCCAATATGCTTTCTTATGGAAAGCAGCAAGTTTGATACGGTTGTAGTGGACAAGAAGTTTCGTGTAAGCTCCCAGGGTAATGCTGTACTAAAAAAAGCTAATATGAACCACAGATGCATAAACAAGGGAACAGGGAGGTGATTTTCCCTCTGTATATAGTACTGGTGAGATGAACACTGCAAAGTGCTGCTGTCTGCCTCTCAGAAAGGTGGTTGGGAAACGTGAAAGAGCGTAGAAAACCCCACAAAAATGAAGAAGAGGCTGGACTTCAGTAGCTTCTCTGGAGGGCAAGAGAAAAGTTCTCTTAGTTTCAAATTCAGACTGAATCTTGGAATCTTGGATATGTACATATCACATATTCATAGATTTTAATTTGATTTCCCCCTGCCTCCACGTACCTCCCCAAAAACTCATGAGATGGTCAGGGACAACATTTTTAGATATCCCCTCTGCAAAAATTAAAATTTACTCTAAGAATTACTAAATACAATATTTGATTGCCTCCAATTATCCAATTTATACATGATTTTCACTCATTGAAGTGTGACATTCTGGGAATAAAATTCTTCACACAGCATATAGGTAACAAACTATGGATTAATTATTGATGCTTGTATACTGTATATCTACAGTTGTCCTCACATAGATGACATTTTACTTCCCATATTTAATTAACAGAATGTTATTTGTTAAAAAGTCCACTTGATATCACTAATGATGAGTCAAAAAAACAGATGAAACACTTTCAAAGCTGTCAGTGTTTTTAAACTTTAAAGCAAGTAAGCTGTTCAAATGTGAGGCTCAAACAGGTTTGTTCGCAATAATCAGATAATTCTGCACTACTTCTTAAATCAGTCATGCCATGTTGACCCTCTTCTTTCCTTACCACATGTATTACTGAATCTGTTGAATGAAACTTAATTTTCAATGTCACATGCAGAAAATAAGGTCTTGAACTTTTCAAACAGCTGTTTCCAAACGATTATATCACAGATCTCTACAATGTTCTCTCAGAGGCTCATTACTGAATTAAAGTGAGAATCTCAGCTTTCCATAATTATCTTCATAATTCTTTGTCCAGTCTCATGCTTTGCGCGGGGAAATACTGATTCATGGTTCTTGCACATTTTGATCTGACGTATGGTTACAACCATTCCAAATATGTGACTTGGTGCTACAGTCTCCAAACACTACAAATCACTTGGTCTCACTTTGTACTTGCACTTCAAGCATCCAGGTACTCCCCAACACTTCACTACAGGTTGCCCCTTTTCTAGTTATTGTAGCGATGACATTTTGATTCCAAAATCGTTTCTAAAGCAGGAAATTCTGTAATGTTTAATTGCTGAATTAGCTTTTCTTTCCAATCAATTAACCTACTGAAGTCCTGCATGTGGTACCTTAACTATAGAAACTTCAGTGTATGTTAAAGTTTAAAGAAAAAAAAACAAAAACATCTACTTACCTTATACAAGTGAAGCAGAATTTTGATCCAGTTTGCTAGTAACTGAGTTGCGTGTTTTTAAACAAGAGTTAGTGCTTTCACACCCCATCTGCTTGTCCTTTCTGGTCCTGCATGGAAATCATAATGCTTAATTCCTGCTATCTCAGCCATTTCCATAGCAACAGACATAAGCACATACTGTATTAGAGTTATATCCTCAATTATCTATAATCACCAGTATATATAACCATCTAAGGAACTGCCAGAATATCCCCGTCTAACAAGCCATTTGCCAGTGTTAAGCTTGTTAGATTGTCATTTTGCCAATTTGTTAATTGCTTATCAATTATAAGGCACTCATCCATCTGTAGTAATTAATTCGTGCTGAAATACTAAGCAAGAGAAAGCAGGGTTAGGAAATAATTGATAACTGAAAACAAGAGTGTAATCATTTTGGGTCGTGTGGAGGAAGGAAATGAGATTCGCAATTACAGTCAGCATAAAGGAAATCTAAATGATTTTGTGATACTAACAGTGTTCCTGGAGGCAAAAAAAGAAAGTATATGAATAGTTTCAGCAAGAGATGGAGAGGAGATATCGTTATTCAACATTTTGTTACAATATTTCTCTTGAAATCAACTCCCAATTATATGAAGAATTCTACTATTCATGTATACAATTGATTTGTATTTCAGAACAGAAATAAGTAGAAGCAGCAGCAATGATCGATGATGTACAGTACAATCTAACATAGCCAAAAGGAAAAAGAAAATGAGGGCAAGCAATAAAAGCACGTGCCAGGACCCATGGGACACAGACGATTCCAGCCTCGCCCCTCAAACAATATTGCCTCTAAAGGCTTAAGGTCTGTGAGCACGCAGCTCTGATCTGTGAGCGTGCCGCGTCGGTCAATTCCCAAATTGGTCCCGCCTCCCCCTTTCGGCGTGCGGAACAAATTATTCTCACAACATTATTTGGGAGAAAAGGGTCTTGAAATACTAAACTATATATATTTTATTGCTAAAAAATTAAAATATAAAACCCTACCAAAACAGAAAGGTTTATGCATAATGCTCCACGTGAGGAGAGTATGAAAAGAGAATGGATTTCATGTGACAGACCTAAGTCGCATCATTTAACATACTCTGTAAAGCTGTCGGGTAGTGTGACATGCTGAAGGTATGCCTGGTCTGCCTTATCTGACAGATTTCATCACTCTTTCAAAAATGATCCACACTGCCTCTGTGCCTCCAGACTTCGAAAACAGCATGGAGCCTTGTGTGTCCTGCCACTGAGCAGACCAGGCAGCGAGAAGGCACATGGCATCGGGGCTCGGGTGAAACCCACCCAGAGGGGCTGGGGAGCAGAGTGGTTTCCCGGAGGTGCCCGGCTTGGCCCCAGCTCCCGCCCCAGTCCCCACTCCCCCTCGCGGAGGAGCCACTGCCTGCCCCGCACCACTCTCTCTCCCGGCAGGGATGCCGGGGTGGTGAGGAGTGGAGCGCACCCAAGAGGCAACTTACCGCCGGCTCCAGTGCCTGCGCCGCGCTCTGGGTTTCTAGGAAGCCGTAGCCCAGCTCCTCTGGGCAGGCGGGCGCGCGGCATCAAAAAAATGCGCGGCAAAACAAAAATTGTGTGCACGGCCGCGCGCGTACGCAGCTTAGAGGGAACCTTGCGCTCAACCCTTTAACTTTCTGTGGACGTTTCTAGGACAGGGGACTGCCACCCTGGATCTACCGCCATTCCCACATACGCCCGGCACCAGACACTGGGCAAGCGCGGCCTTCCTGCCCACGTGGCGCTGCTCCGCCGCCGCTCCCCCTGCTCGAGGCACATCAGAAAGCGGCAGGAAGGTGGCAGAGGTGGCGCTGAAGTGGGAACGCTGCCAGGTACAGGGCTACGTGGACACCTGCCGGTCCCATTCCCCGCAGCTCTCCGCTTCAGGCAGCCCCAGGACACAGCAGCACCACGGGGGTCGTTGGCCCCGGCCTGGAAAGGTCCAGACATCCGGCACCAGCAGCGCGCCGCCCCTGTGCTTCACCGCCGGGGCTGGACCCACCTGGCTGCGTCCACGGCGTTGTTGAGTCCCCTCCCCCGCTCCGTCCTCACACCGCCCCTCCCCCGCTTCCCCTCACACCATCCTCTCTCCCTCCTCCTCCTCACACCGCTCCTCCCGCCGCGCGCACCTCACTCCAGCCTCGTGCTGCTACAACCGTCCTTGCTGCTGCCCCCCCTCCCCGCACGCCATTGGCTAGTCGCGGCGGCGCCTCGCCTTCCTGGGCTTGTTGATTGGGTAGCTGCGCGGCCCCGTGAGGCAACGGGGTTGCAAGGGAAGGGGCGGGGAGGGAAATCGTCATCACGGGACTGCATTGGCTCGGCCCTGGAGTGACGCGCGGGGGGCGGTGTCAGAGCTGCCCTCAGCGGCCGCGGGAGGCGGGTGTTGGTCACAACCTACCCCTTGACGGGGTCACGGGCATGCACGCACCCGGGGCCGGGTCACAAACGGACACTCTCCCTCCACCGTGGCGCGCGTATAACCCCCACCCCCCATCGTGGGAGACACACGCACGCTCCCCCTATGGCACATCCCCACCTCGGTGGGGTTACACATACACACGTACACTGTCCCCCTGTGGCGCACACACACACACACCGCCTCCCCTGGGGTCCCAAGCACACGTACACCCCACACGTGGCAGGTCCACACATACACACCTCATGGGAGACAGACACTTTTTTTTTTTTCCTGTTTTTTTGCACCGGTCCTGGAAGCATGTCAATGCATGGAGTGGATGGAGCAAGCTCCAGCTCCACCACCCAACACCAAAAAAAATCTGCTCAATATAGACCTCCTATGGAGGACATATCAGAGACAATAACCTGCCCTGGGGAGCCCACCTACGTGGTGGTCACGGTGACAGACACACACATGCACACCCCTGTGACAGGGTCACACTCACCCTGTGGCAGACACGACCCTGTGGCCGTGCTGTGGCAAGTTCACACACATATGCAACCCCATGGCAGCGTCACCCCCTGGTGACAAGGCTACACACATGCCGGTGGCAGGGTCAGAGCTTCCCCTCGGCAGCTGCCATCACCAGCTCTGCCCTGCCCTGTCTGCGCCCCACGAGCAGCTCTCGGGCTTTGCCCAAAGAGGTCATTCCCTGAGTCCTGCAGCGTCCACGTGAATCGCCCACCTCTTTTTTTCGGATTCATGAAACACAATCCAGCCTTTCCTGAGCACCCATGGGGCAGCCGGTGCTTCTCTGCCTGTTCGCTCTGTGCCTGGCTTCACGTTTCACAGCAAAACAGCCATCTGTGAGAGCTGTGCGGGTCCCAGGAGCAGCAGAAATGCGAAGCAAGGCTGGCGGGACCAGTTGAACAGGAAGACTGCGAAAAAGGAGACAGGGTCCTTCACTCCTGTGGAAGGAAGAATTAAAAAGCAACCAGGCAGATTTTTTTTTCTTTTTTTAATTTAAATTTTCCGTATTTCAACCTAAATCAGCCAAATCAAATTCTAAATCTGTGAGTCAGTCCAGAACCACAGGTGGTCCTACTACCGGCAAACATCATCCACCCCCTGATGTGGAAATTGAGACAGGATTACTGTTTGGCTATCAGAAGTGCTTTATTTTACGTGGCCACGGGAGAAAAAGCAAGGGGCAGCTAATTCTCAACAAAAGCAAAGCACAGACTTCTTTATATACTGATAAGTCACATACAGATTTGCCCGCCCCGTAACATACTCTTGGCAGTCTGACAGTGACTTATCCTGGTGTCTTGCTGAACCAGGCACGTTTTCTCAAGCTGTTTTCTGATAAGCTTATCCTGAAGGCCGCCGTGTTGTTCCCGCTCAGCCTTCACCCACATCTTTCATCCTGTCCCGACACGTATACACTCCTTTCAGTACTTTTCCATTCTTCATCATCCCCCCCTTGTAAGCGCTTGTGCTTACACTTCTATATTTATAAAGCCTTTGACATTTTCTTGTCATTCGCACTCATAGGCCACCTCCTTGAGCACCATCATCTGCAGCTTGGTCTTAGAGAACCTAGAAACACTCTGGGCAGTTTTTGATAAACAGCAGCATAAGCAACACAGAATCATTTGGATAATAATGAAAACGGCAAAAATGCATAATAAACTTAGAATATACCATTTTAGCAGGGATTTCCATCACTCCCCTATATCTGGTAGCCACCCCCACCAATTGAAGGTTTTCTCCTTTGCAACTGCATGGATCATCTGCAACTGTCTCTTAATGGTGCAGAGGTCTTTTTCCACTCGTTGGTGCTGATCGATCCAGGTGCAGCAAGTATGGTTCACGACCGCACATACCCCTCCTTGGGCGGCTAGGAGATAATCCAAAGCCATATGGTTTTTGGTAGCTACCTGTCTTATCTGGATGATTTTATCAGTAAGAGCTCCTAAAGCATTGATGCTGGCATTAAAAAATGTCTCCATAACTTCTGAAATGTTTACAATGGTCCTTTCTAATTTAGCTACCCCCAACCAAGGGGGAAATGCCCTAGTAAATTGATGGAATCCTGCGGGTTGGCGAACCAGCGGGTTTTCAACTGCTCGCTTATCTCTGGGCAAGCCAGGTGGGAGATTAGATACCTCATGCCGAGAGAGAGGCTTGGGTGTAGATCAAACTCCGGGATGAGTCTCCCCAGGGTACAGGTGCCAACCCAATGCCACGGCAAAATCTTGTGGGCATCATTCCCTCATAGCTAGCACAAGCCTGGAGCAGCTATAGTGCTGAGGTCCCTGCAGGTCGTGCTTCCAATTCAACACTTTCGATTGACCTGTAAGGTATAGGAAGGGGCATGATGGCTCCCTACTAACCTGCGCTGAGATATTGATTGATTACAAGAAATAGAACCTAGCAGCATGTAAAATTCAGACCCGTTTATTACCAGACTATGGGTTCTATGGATAGCGAGAGACCCGTTGGTACACTGTGTAGGAGTGAATTTAGTCGGGCTTCCGGCCTCCCTGACTAGAAAAAAAAGACAGAGACCAGAAGTGCTGATACTGCTTATTTCAGTT